TCTATTTCTCCTCCCTGGCTCCTCCCCCCTCTCTATCTCTTCTCCCTGGCTCCTCCACCCTCTCTATCTCTCCTCCCTGGCTCCTCCCCCCTCTCTATCTCTCCTCCCTGGCTCCTCCCCCCTCTCTCGATCTCTCCTCCCTGGCTCCTCCCCCCTCTCGTACCTATAAAGCCTCTTGTCACAGCAGCCCTTTTGCCCACTTCAGCAATTGTTTCTTGCTGTGGTTGTCCCACTTGATGACGGACGCTTGTGTTGCGCCCGAAACGGTGACTTTACCGAAAGAACCAAAGTCATAAAGACTTCAAATCTACATTGAATAGCAGTGACTAACACAGTGAATTAGAGTGAATAACACAGTGAATAACACGGTGACTAACACAGTGACTAACATAGTGATTAACACAGTGACTAACATAATGACTAAGTGACTAACAACAGTGATTAACACAGTGACTAAAATAATGACTAACAGTGACTAACACAGTGAATGAGAGTGACTAACACAGTGAATAACACGGTGACTAACACGGTGACTAACACAGTGACTAACATAATGACTAACATAATGACTAACACAGTGAATGAGAGTGACTAACACAGTGAATAACACAGTGACTAACAAGTGACTAACATAATGACTAACAGTGACTAGCACAGTGAATGAGAGTCACTAACACAGTGAATAACACGGTGACTAACACAGTGACTAACACAGTGAATGAGAGTCACTAACACAGTGAATAACACGGTGACTAACACAGTGAATGAGAGTCACTAACACAGTGAATAAAACGGTGACTGACACAGTGAATGAGAGTCACTAACACAGTGAATAACACGGTGACTAACACGGTGACTAACACAGTGACTAACATAATGACTAACATAATGACTAACAGTGACTAACACAGTGAATGAGAGTGACTAACACAGTGAATAACACGGTGACTAACACGGTGACTAACACAGTGACTAACACAGTGAATGAGAGTGACTAACACAGTGAATAACACGGTGACTAACACGGTGACTAACACAGTGACTAACACAGTGAATGAGAGTGACTAACACAGTGAATAACACGGTGACTAACACGGTGACTAACACAGTGATTAACACAGTGACCAACATAATGACTAACAGTGACTAACACAGTGAATGAGAGTGACTAACACAGTGAATAACACGGTGACTAACACAGTGACTAACATAGTGATTAACACAGTGACTAACATAATGACTAAGTGACTAACAACAGTGATTAACACAGTGACTAAAATAATGACTAACAGTGACTAACACAGTGAATGAGAGTGACTAACACAGTGAATAACACGGTGACTAACACGGTGACTAACACAGTGACTAACATAATGACTAACATAATGACTAACACAGTGAATGAGAGTGACTAACACAGTGAATAACACAGTGACTAACACAGTGACTAACATAATGACTAACAGTGACTAGCACAGTGAATGAGAGTCACTAACACAGTGAATAACACGGTGACTAACACAGTGACTAACACAGTGAATGAGAGTCACTAACACAGTGAATAACACGGTGACTAACACAGTGAATGAGAGTCACTAACACAGTGAATAACACGGTGACTAACACGGTGACTAACACAGTGACTAACATAATGACTAACATAATGACTAACAGTGACTAACACAGTGAATGAGAGTGACTAACACAGTGAATAACACGGTGACTAACACGGTGACTAACACAGTGACTAACACAGTGAATGAGAGTGACTAACAAAGTGAATAACACGGTGACTAACACGGTGACTAACACAGTGATTAACACAGTGACCAACATAATGACTAACAGTGACTAACACAGTGAATGAGAGTGACTAACACAGTGAATAACACGGTGACTAACACAGTGATTAACACAGTGACTAACATAATGACTAACAGTGACTAACACAGTGAATGAGAATGACTAACAGTGTATAACACGGTGACTAACACAGTGATTAACACAGTGACTAACATAATGACTAACAGTGACTAACACAGTGAATGAGAGTGACTAACACAGTGAATAACACGGTGACTAACACGGTGACTAACACAGTGATTAATACAGTGACTAACATAATGACTAACAGTGACTAACACAGTGAATGAGAGTGACTAATAGTGAATAACACGGTGACTAACACAGTGATTAGCACAGTGACTAACATAATGACTAACAGTGACTAATACAGTGAATGAGAGTGACTAACACAGTGAATAACACAGTGACTAACACAGTGATTAACACAGTGATTAACACAGTGACTAACATAATGACTAACAGTGACTAACACAGTGAATGAGAGTGACTAACACAGTGAATAACACGGTGACTAACACGGTGACTAACACAGTGATTAACACAGTGACTAACATAATGACTAACAGTGACTAACACAGTGAATGAGAGTGACTAACACAGTGAATAACACGGTGACTAACACAGTGATTAACACAGTGACTAACATAATGACTAACAGTGACTAATACAGTGAATGAGAGTGACTAATCGTGAATAACACGGTGACTAACACAGTGATTAACACAGTGACTAACATAATGACTAACAGTGACTAATACAGTAAATGAGAGTGACTAACACAGTGAAAAACATGGTGACTAACACAGTGATTAACACAGTGACTAACATAATGACTAACACAGTGACTATCACAGTGAATGAGAGTGACTAACACAGTGAATAACATGGTGAGTAACACGATGACCAACACAGTGACTAACATAATGACTAACAGTGAATAACACAGTAAATGAGAGTGACTAACACAGTGAATAACACGGTGACTAACACAGTGACTAACATAATGACTAACAGTGACTAAAACAGTGAATGAGCGTCACTAACACAGTTAATAACACGGTGAATAATAGTGCCCAACACAGTGACTAACACAGTGAATAGCCCAGTGACTAACACAGTGAATAGCCCAGTGACTAACACAGTGACTAGCACAGTGACTAACACAGTGAATAGCCCAGTGACTAACACAGCGAATAGCCCAGTGACTAACACAGTGAATAGCCCAGTGACTAACACAGTAAATAGCCCAGTGACTAACACAGTGAATAGCCCAGTGACTAACACAGTGAATAGGCCAGTGACTAACACAGTGAATTAGTCCAGTGACTAACACAGTGAATAGCCCAGTGACAAACACAGTGAATAGCCCAGTGACTAACACAGTGAATAGCTCAGTGACTAACACAGTGAATTAGCCCAGTGACTGACACAGTGAAAATCACAGTGACTAACACAGTGAATAGTCCAGTGACTAACACAGTGAATAACCCAGTGACTAACACAGTGAATAGCCCAGTGACTAACACAGTGAATAGCCCAGTGACTAACACAGTAAATAGCCCAGTGACTAACACAGTGAATAGCCAAGTGACTAACACAGTGAATAGGCCAGTGACTAACACAGTGAATAGGCCAGTGACTAACACAGTGAATAGCTCAGTGACTAACACAGTTAATAGCCCAGTGACAAACACAGTGAATAGGCCAGTGACTAACACAGTGAATAGCCTAGTGACTAACACAGTGAATTAGCCCAGTGACTGACACAGTGAAAATCCCAGTGACTAACACAGTGAATAGCCCAGTGACTAACACAGTGAATAACCCAGTGACTAACACAGTGAATAGCCCAGTGACTAACACAGTGAATAGCCCAGTGACTAACATAGTAAATAGCCCAGTGACTAACACAGTGAATAGCCCAGTGACTAACACAGTGAATAGCCCAGTGACTAACACAGTGAATAGCCCAGTGACTAACACAGTGAATAGCCCAGTGACTAACACAGTGAATAGCCCAGTGACTAACACAGTGAATAGCCCAGTGACTAACACAGTGAATATCCCAGTGACCAACACCGTGACCAACACAGCGGTGATTTTCGCTTGGGACTTCAGAAGAGATAATTGCTTCAAGTTTGCAAATTGTCCTTCCAGATGAAAGTGCGAGCCGCAACGCACGGCCATCACAACCCAAGGCGCACGAGATGGAATGTACAGCTGTAGGCGATGCCTCGATTGTCATCGCACCTTGCACTGTCTGGGTGAATCGACGATTCAAAACAAATGTGGTTTTGATCTTTCCACCACAGCCGCCCACTGACAGCCCATCGCTATCTAAAGCTAACCCGAGGGGTGTGCATTTGGCACCGAGTCACGGTAGGTGGGGAGGGGAGGAGGGTGGGAGCGGAGGGAGGAGGAGGGAGGACTACATTCGGAAATGTCACTTCACGGCACAAAATAATCCCTGTGGGGACCCTCAAAACTTCACCCCATGGCGTTTAACCAGCGGGCGCCCCGAGACTGTATTTGAATACTCTCGCCGGAATTCGAACAAACACTCAGTGACGAAGCTGGTTTGACCCTTTCGCATTCCGACGACGTCCATGCACATCATCAGTTTTTTTTTCTTCCGATTCCGTTCCGATGACGTGCACGTCGTCGGAACGAATTCGGAAGTAAAAGGCCGCGCGGGAGGGGCATGTGGCGCAGTTTTGGCGCCGGCTATCGTAGAGTGGCGGCGGCCGTGTCGCTCCGGTTCTCTGCGGTGAGTAACAAAGTAAATAAAAAAACAATGGCGTGACTACCACGCCTCTCCAAGTAAAATGAGTGCTGGGCCTGCTCGCGCGTTCCGAGATTCAGCGGCGAACGGGACACTGACCACCCTGCGACTTGCAGAAGTCTCAAGGCGGGAAAAGGCTTAATATGGCGGCATGCGCTGGCGGTGCTTTTGAATAACCAAGAGGCCAGACCATCAACTCCCTGCACTTGGGAACCCGGTTCAATGGCGTTGGCCAGGCTGCCGCTAGGCCCTGGACTCGAACCCGGGCCCCACGGTGGGCCAGCGGTCGCCGCGGTGCCGACGTCTCCGCCGCTGACCGCACTCCCTGTCGTGGCTGGCGCGCGCGTCGCAGGGTGGAGGCGCTGCGCGACCAGGCCTCCGCCATGGAGCAGGAGAAGGAGGTGCTGGTGGAGCTGATCCAAGAGGCTCGGTCCAGCCGCGACATGTGGAGGATCAGCGAGGGTGAGACAGAGAACCCACCCCCCCACCCCCGTGTATCCTTAACGTTTGAGACTGAGTCGACCGAGGGGAGGCCCAGGACCGGTAATCGACACTGGTATTGGCCGTGAGCGCGAATCGAATTCGAGTCGCCGGGATCGTAGCACAGCGCCAATTTCCACAACAACAGCCACCATTCACCACCACGTGGCGGTGACGTCACCACAGCGATTGTGCCCACGACTACTCCGTGTCTCTCCCCCGTGTCCCCACGACTACTCCCGTGTCTCCCCCCCGTGTCCCCACGTCTACTCTGTCTCTCCCCCGTGTCCCCACGTCTACTCCGTGTCTCCCCCCCGTGTCCCCACGTCTACTCTGTGTCTCCCCCCCGTGTCCCCACGTCTACTCTGTGTCTCCCCCCCGTGTCCCCACGTCGACTCCGTGTCTCCCCTGTGTCCCCACGACTACTGCGTCTCTCCCCCGTGTCCCCACGTCTACTCCGTGTCTCCCCCGTGTCCCCACGTCTACTCCGTGTCTCCCCCCCGTGTCCCCACGTCTACTCTGTGTCTCCCCTGTGTCCCCACGTCTACTCCGTGTCTCCCCCGTGTCCCCACGACTACTCCGTGTCTCTCCCCCGTGTCCCCACGACTACTCCGTGTCTCCCCCGTGTCCCCACGTCGACTCCGTGTCTCCCCCGTGTCCCCACGACTACTCCGTGTCTCCCCCGTGTCCCCACGTCGACTCCGTGTCTCCCCCGCGAGCCAGGCGAGAAAGAGGAGCTCGCCGTGACAGCCGAGCGCCTGCTGTCGCGCACGCTCAGCGTGGCTGTGTCGCTGGAGACGGTGCGCAGCGCGGCGCAGCGGGAAGCGCTGCGGCGCGCCACGGCGCTCGTGGACGGCGCGGCGGAGCAGCTGCACGGCGCCGGCGCCGGCGACGACCCCGGCACCACCGCCGCCGCGGACGCCGCCGCGTGTCGCCTTCTCTCCTTCCGCAACGCCTGCTCCTCCGAGCCGTGCGCCGGCGCCGTCGACCACAAGTTCCAGGCGACCGTCATCGGCTGCGCCCTCGAGGATCAGAAGCGGCTGAAGCGGAGGGTGGAGATGCTGCTGAGGGGCGCGCGACTCGCCGGCGCGAGAGCCGACGATGACGACCGGCGTGGTGGCGGTGGCGATGACAGACAAAGAGGAGGCGAGAGCACCGACGATGACGACCGGCGTGGTGGCGGTGGCGGTGGCGACGACAGACAAAGAGGAGGCGAGAGCACCGACGATGACGACCGGCGTGGTGGCGGTGGCGGTGGCGACGACAGACAAAGAGGAGGCGAGAGCGCCCCGCACGGTCGGCCCGGCATGCGGCCTGCTTGCCAGAACGATGATGACGATGGCGGCGGCAGTGGCGGCGGTGCTGGTGGTGCCTCTGCCGCGGTGACGATACCGCTACCACCGCCGCCACCGCTGCATCCGCCGCCCAAATCCCGACCGCCGCAACCACCCCCACACATTCAGAAGAATCAGCAGCAGCAGCAGCAGCCGTGGGCTCCTCAGCCCCAGAATTTTCTTGCCAAGATTGTCGCCCCTTCCCCACCGTCGCCTCCTCTTCCACATACTCCTCAATTGCAGCAGCAGAAGTCTCCGTCCACCAGGCCGCAGAGTTTTGCGAAGCTCCATCCTCTCCGAGTTCACCTCCCACAGCGACCTCAACCCCAACATCAGCAGCCGAAGCAGCAGCAGGAGCAGCAGCAGGCCAAGGCCCAGACTCAAGAGGCTGACGGCCCACAAGACATCAAGAATCGCTCTCCACAGCCGCTGTTTGACTTCACTGCTGAACAGCCACGGCCTCCTGCGCAGGCCTTTCCGTGCCACTATCAGGAGCACAAACCGCGGCCTCCTGAGAGTCAACACCAGCCCAGGAACCTCTCTCCGCTGGTCCACTCTCCTCAGAAACGCTTCATTCAGCTGACTCGGAATCACCACCAGCCCAAGCCTCAGTCTCCTCAGAATGACCACCAGATCTTCAGTGTCTCTCCTCAGAAACACTTCATACAGCAGACGCAGACTCGCCCAGGGCCCAAGCCTCAGTCTCCTCAGAATGACCAACAGATCTTGAGTATCTCTCCTCAGCAACACTTTATACAGCTCACTCAGAGACACCCAGAGCCGAAGCCTCAGTCACCTCAGAATGACCATCAGATCTTGAGTATCTCTCCTCAGCAACACTTTATACAGCTCACTCAGAGACACCCAGAGCCGAAGCCTCAGTCACCTCAGAATGTCCATCAGATCTTGAGTATCTCTCCTCAGCAACACTTTATACAGCTAACTCAGACTCACCCAGAGCCCAAGCCTCAGTCACCTCAGAATGACCACCAGATCTTGAGTCTCTCTCCTCAGCAACACTTCATACAGCTAACTAAGACTCACCCAGAGCCCAAGCCTCAGTCACTTCAGAATGACCATCAGATCTTGAGTATCTCTCCTCAGCAACACTTTATTCAGCAGATGCAGACTCACCCAGAGCCCAAGCCCAAGTCACCTCAGAATGACCATCAGATCTTGAGTATCTCTCCTCAGCAACGCTTTATACAGCAGATGCAGACTCACCCAGAGCCCACGCCTAAATCACCTCAGAATGACCACCAGATCTTGAGTATCTCTCCTCAGCAACGCTTCATACAGCTAACTCAGACTCACCCAGAGCCCAAGCCTCAGTCACCTGAGAATGACCACCAGATCTTGAGTATCTCTCCTCAGCAACGCTTTATACAGCTCACTCAGACTCACCCAGAGCCCAAGCCTAAATCACCTCAGAATGACCATCAGATCTTGAGTTTCTCTCCTCAGCAACACTTTATACAGCAGACGCAGACTCACCCAGAACCCAAGCCTAAATCACCTCAGAATGACCACCAGATCTTGAGTATCTCTCCTCAGCAACGCTTTATACAGCTCACTCAGAGACACCCAGAGCCGAAGCCTCAGTCACCTCAGAATGACCATCAGATCTTGAGTCTCTCTCCTCAGCACCACTTCATACAGCTCACTCAGACTCACCCAGAGCCCAAGCCTCAATCACCTCAGAATGACCACCAGATCTTGAGTCTCTCTCCTCAGCAACGCTTCATACAGCTCACTCAGAGACACCCAGAGCCCAAGCCTCAGTCACCTCAGAATGACCACCAGCCCAAGATCCACTCCCCTCAGCCACAGGCCGAAGCCAAGCCCTCGTCTCCCAAGCCCCAGTGCTCTCGGGGCCCTCTGCCTCCTCGGCAGAGGAGGACCATCAACATCACGATCCCGGTCGTCCACCACTGATGGATCCACCCTCTGCAGGCTGCCATAACCCCCGCCCCCCCCCCCGAAGAACGACCACTTCGCAGCGACTCCCGCAGCTCACTCCGCGGGAGCGCGATGGCATTCTACGCCGCCGCGCAATTGGCGAGAGTCCGCGTGACCTTCACACGCGCGGCTCACCGCCTGTTGCATTCAAGCGGAGAGGCGATGCACGGCGCCGATTTGCGTCGCTCACGAGCACGTGTCTCACGATCACATGACCCAGTCACGAGATTGTAGTCACGAGCACGTGACTCGGTCACGGGACCGTAGTCACGAGCACGTGACCCGGTCACTAGATTGTAGTCACGAGCACGTGACCCAGTCACGAGATTGTAGTCAGGAGCACGTGACCCGATCACTAGATTGTAGTCACGAGCACGTGACGACGGTCACGAGATTGTAGTCAGGAGCACGTGACCCGGTCACTAGATTGTAGTCACGAGCACGTGACTCGGTCACGGGACCGTAGTCACGAGCACGTGACCCGGTCACTAGATTGTAGTCACGAGCACGTGACTCGGTCACGGGACCGTAGTCACGAGCACGTGACCCGGTCACTAGATTGTAGTCACGAGCACGTGACGACGGTCACGAGATTGTAGTCAGGAGCATGTGACCCGGTCACTAGATTGTAGTCAGGAGCATGTGACCCAGTCACGAGATTGTAGTCAGGAGCATGTGACCCGGTCACTAGATTGTAGTCACGAGCACGTGACGACGGTCACGAGATTGTAGTCAGGAGCATGTGACCCGGTCACTAGATTGTAGTCAGGAGCATGTGACCCAGTCACGAGATTGTAGTCAGGAGCATGTGACCCGGTCACTAGATTGTAGTCACGAGCACGTGACCCAGTCACGAGATTGTAGTCATGAGCACGTGACCCGGTCACTAGATTGTAGCCACGAGCACGTGACGACGATCACGAGATTGTAGTCAGGAGCACGTGACCTGGTCACGAGATTGTAGTCACGAGTACGTGACGACGATCACGAGATAGTAGTCACGAGCACGTGACCCGGTCACGAGATTGTAGTCAGGAGCACGTGACCTGGTCACGAGATTGTAGTCACGAGCACGTGACCAGGTCACGAGATTGTAGTCACGAGCACGTGACGACGATCACGAGATAGTAGTCACGAGCACGTGACCCGGTCACGAGATTGTAGTCACGAGCACGTGACGACGATCACGAGATTGTAGTCACGAGCACGTGACCCAGTCACGAGATTGTAGTCACGAGCACGTGACAACGATCACGAGATTGTAGTCACGAGCACGTGACCCGGTCACGAGATAGTAGTCACGAGCACGTGACGACATTCACGAGCGAGCCAGAGCGGACCACACCGCTCGTTCAGAGTCATCGGCAGTCCAGCAGAGTTGTTAAGTTGGGATAATTAATGGCGGTCTTCTCTCCGACTCTTACCTAACACCCTGTGTCACAGTGAGTCTATAGGGTCTCTGTTCGGGTCGATGGGTCATTTTGTGAGTCTATGGGTCTCGTTGTGGGTATCTGAATCTAGGGGTCTCTGTGTGAGTCTGTAAGTCTCTTTGTGGGTCAAGGGGTCTCTTTGTGAGCCTATGGTTCTCTGCGTGAGTATATGGCTCTCTGCATGAGTCTATGGGTCTCTGCGTGAGTCTATGGGTCTCTATGTGAGTCTATGGGTCTCTGTGTTAGTCTATGGGTCTCTATGTGAGTCTATGGGTCTCTGTGTGAGTCTATGGGTCTCTGTATGAGTCTATGGGTCTCTACAGTGCGGGAAAAACGTATTTGATCCCCTGCTGATTTTGTACGTTTGCCCACTGAGAAATAAATTATCAGTCTTTAATTTTAATGGTAGGTTTATTTGAACAGTCAGAGACAGAATAACAACAACAAAATCCAGAAAAACGCATGTCAAAAATGTTATAAATTGATTTGCATATGAATGAGGGAAATAAGTATTTGAGCCCTCTGCAAAACATGACTTAGTACTTGGTGGCAAAACCCTTGTTGGCAATCACATAGGTCAGACGTTTCTTGTAGTTAGCCACCAGGTTTGCACACATCTCAGGAGGGATTTTGTCCCACTCCTCTTTGCAGATCTTCTCCAAGTAATTAAGGTTTCGAGGCTGACGTTTGGCAACTCGAACCTACAGCTCCCTCCACAGATTTTCTATGGGATTAAGGTCTGGAGACTGGCTAGGCCACTCCAGGACCTTAATGTGCTTCTTCTTGAGCCACTCCTTTGTTGCCTTGGCCGTGTGTTTTGGGTCATTATCATGCTGGAATAACCATCCACGACCCATTTTCAATGCCCTGGCTGAGGGAAGGAGGTTCTCACCCAAGATTTGACGGTACATGTCCCCGTCCATCGTCCCTTTGATGCGGTGAAGTTGTCCTGTCCCAATAGCAGAAAAACACCCCCAAAGCATAATGTTTCCACCTCCATGTTTGACGGTGGGGATGGTGTTCTTGGGGTCATAGGCAGCATTCCTCCTCCTCCAAACACGGCGAGTTGAGTTGATGCCAAAGAGCTCCATTTTGATCTCATCTGACCACAACACTTTCACCCAGTTGTCCTCTGAATCATTCATGGGCAAACTTCAGACGGGCATGTATATGTACTTTCTTGAGCATGGGGACCTTGCGGGTGCTGCAGGATTTCAGTCCTTCACGGTGTAGTGTGTTACCAATTGTTTTCTTGGTGACTATGGTCCCAGCTGCCTTGAGACCATTGACAAGATCCTCCCGTGTAGTTCTGGGCTGATGCCTCACCGTTCTCATGATCATTGCAACTCCACGAGGTGAGATCTTGCATGGAGCCCCAGGCCGAAGGAGATTGACAGTTTTTTTGTGTTTCTTCCATTTGCGAATAATCGCACCAACTGTTGTCACCTTCTCACCAAGCTGCTTGGCAATGGTCTTGTAGCCCATTCCAGCCTTGTGTAGGTCTACAATTTTGTCCCTGACATCCTTGGAGAGCTCTTTGGTCTTGGCTATGGTGGAGCGTTTGGGATCTGATTGATTGCTTCTGTGGACAGGTGTCTTTTATACAGGTAACACGCTGATATTAGGATCACTCCCTTTAAGAGTGTGCTCCTAATCTCAGCTCGTTACATGTATAAAAGACACCTGGGAGCCAGAAATCTTTCTGATTGAGAGGGGGTCAAATACTTATTTCCCTCATTAAAATGCAAATCAATTTATAACATTTTAGACATGCGTTTTTCTGGATTTTCGTTGTTGTTATTCTGTCTCTCACTGTTCAAATGAACATACCATTAAAATTATAGGCTGATCATTTCTTTTTCTTTGGTTCTTTCGGTAAAGTCACGTAGAATGAGAATAAAATAATAAATTGATAAAATAAAATAACACAATAATATTCTCACGACGTTTCGGCCACAACACAAGCGGCCTTCATCAGGTGAAGGGAGCGAGACTGTCTGGTAGGACAGCGCTGGAGTGAGAGAGCCACGTTCAGATCACGGCTTTTAAGCTGTGTGAGAGGAACAAAGAGCCTTGACGAAGGAATTAGCATAAAATTTAGCATTGAAAAGGCTGAATGATTAGCTTGTGACTGGTCACAGAAATAGCTATGTTAAAAGTTAAAGCATACACATCCGCAGAGGCACCCATTGTTAAAAGGAATTAGCATAGAATTTAGCATTGAAATAGCTAAATTAAGGCATTCGCTTGTAACTGCTACAGAAATAGTTACGTTGAAGTCAGAGCATACACATTCACCGAGGCACTTAGTACAAATCAAAACAGGAGAATTTAGCATTGAAATAACTAGGCGAATTTAGCATTGAAATAACTGGGTGATTTGCTGGTGACTGGTCACAGAAATGACTACACATCTGAGCTATTCACAGTACTATATAGTGAACCAATAAAAACTAAAATATAAATTACCTTCATGTTATCAATAAACTCTATATTCTCCAATCAGCTAAGCTACCAACCATAAGTCGTTATATATCACAATGCTATATGGCGAAAAAATGGGTGGATTCTTACCCTCAAATTTCCGTGGTACGGAAATTTGAGGGTAAGAATGTGTAGTCATTTCTGTGACCAGTCACCAGCAAATCACCCAGTTATTTCAATGCTAAATTCGCCTAGTTATTTCAATGCTAAATTCTCCTGTTTTGATTTGTACTAAGTGCCTCGGTGAATGTGTATGCTCTGACTTCAACGTAACTATTTCTGTAGCAGTTACAAGCGAATGCCTTAATTTAGCTATTTCAATGCTAAATTCTATGCTAATTCCTTTTAACAATGGGTGCCTCTGCGGATGTGTATGCTTTAACTTTTAACATAGCTATTTCTGTGACCAGTCACAAGCTAATCATTCAGCCTTTTCAATGCTAAATTTTATGCTAATTCCTTCGTCAAGGCTCTTTGTTCCTCTCACACAGCTTAAAAGCCGTGATCTGAACGTGGCTCTCTCACTCCAGCGCTGTCCTACCAGACAGTCTCGCTCCCTTCACCTGATGAAGGCCGCTTGTGTTGTGGCCGAAACGTCGTGAGAATATTATTGTGTTATTTTATTTTATCAATTTATTATTTTATTCTCATTCTACGTGACTTTACCGAAAGAACCAAAGAAGATGAATCATTGCAGTCACGAAAGCTTTAAATCGAAATTTGATCATTTCTTTGTCAGTGGGCAAACGTACAAAATCAGCAGGGGATCAAATACTTTTTTTCCCTCACTGTATGTGATTCTATGGGTCTCTGTCTGAGTCTATGGGTCTCTGTGTGAGTCTATGGGTCTCTGTGTGAGTCTATGGGTCTATGTGTGAGTCTATGGGTCTCTGTGTGAGTCTATGGGTCTCTGCGTGAGTCTATGGGTCTCTGCGTGAGTCTATAGGTCTCTATGTGAGTCTCTGGGTCTCTGTGTGAGTCTATGGGTCTCTATGTGAGTCTATGGGTCTCTGTGTGAGTCTATGGGTCTCTGTTTGAGTCTATGGGTCTCTATGTGAGTCTATGGGTCTCTGTGTGAGTCTATGGGTCTCTGTGTGAGTCTATGGGTCTCTGTGTGAGTCTATGGGTCTCTGTGTGAGTCTATGGGTCTATATGTGAGTCTATGGGTCTTTGTGCGAGTCTATGGCTCTTTGTGCAGGTCTATGGGTCTCTGTGTGAGTCTATGGGTCTCTGTGTGCGTCTATGGGTCTCTGTGTGAGTCTATGGGTCTC